CCCCCCCCCCCCCCCGGCCCACGGGGAGCCCAGGGCCCACAGGTGTGGGGCTGCGCGGATGTGCCGGCTTCTCCCAGCCGTGAGTCAGGCGCAGCTTTTGTTGTGAGAAGCCGCATGGGCAGGCCCGCCACTCCCTGGCCGGCCTCCCACGTCCAAAGCAAACAGGCGGGGGTGGCGTGCGGGCACCAGAGGGAGGAGGGCATTTCAGGGCAGCAGGAGCGTGTCCAGAGGGAGGCCTGCTTGTTGGGAAGTGAAGACGGGGAGTCCAGGCGTGAGGGGGGGCGGGCAGAGGGCACACGCCTCTGCCGACGGGCGGTGGACACCGTCTGACAGCACCTACTATGCGCTGGGCCCCGTCCTCACCACCTGTAGGCAGCGGAGGGATCATCCCGCCAACGAGGAAACTGAAGCTCCCAGCACTGGAGTGGGGGGCTCACAGGTGCCAGGGAGGGAGGGGGCTGGGGCTCAGGCCTGTCTGGCACCAGTAACAGCCCCTCAAAACAGCGTCCTGGGCCAGGGCTGAGGTCACGGAGAGGCGGCCATTTCGTTCTTTGCACAAGCAGATGTCCTAGACCAGGGGCGGGGCGCCCTCTTCCTGCCAAGGGCCATGTGGGTATTTATAGCATCATCCTCCGCAGGCCGTGCAGAATCATCACCTTCAAAGGCAGCTGCTGCATCTGGTCAACATCTCACTCACCCCTCATGCTTGGCACGGCCGGACCCCACGATTTTCATGCCCCTGACATGGCCCTCGGCCAGACGTTCCCCACCCCCCCACCCCCACCCCCCGCCGCCGTGTAAACAATGCCGATGGTCCTACAACAAAAGCATGAGCTGGCGAAGGGCTGTGGGCCAGAGAGGGGCTTTCTGAGCGCTGCTGTGTGTGTGTGTGGGGGGGGGGGGTCTGATGGGTGCGGAACCACATGGATGGCCTTATCATGGGCTTACGTGAGGACGAGAGAAATGGGAGAAATGCAAGGACTGCCACCAGCCCCCGCTGAGCTGGGGGCCGAGGAAGCAACAAGAGAAAAGGACAGGGGGAAGCACCCCAATGTCCCCCACAGAAGAGATAAACGGTGCATTACTCGTGAAACGAAAGGCCACACGGCGACAGACAGGACAGACTATTCGCACACGGTGACACAGAGACGCCGCACGGACGGAGGGCTGAACAGAAGAAGTTAGATCCCAAGGACAGCGTGACGGCGGCTGCAGTTACGTGGACGGGAGGTTCAAGGACGGGCAAAGCTAACCTAGGGCGGGCGAGTCTGAACGGCGATTCGGTGGCTACAGGGAGCTTTCTGGGTGTTAGAGGTGCGTCCTGAGCTGGTGGTGGACACACTGTGACAGAAAAACCGGAGAAGAACCAAGCAACGCTTAGAGAGATGGAGTTACATGTACTACGCGCGGGCCCAGAGGAAATGTATCTCAAGTTCTGGGTGGTGTCACACACGAAGTTTCCCCTATTTATACGATTTTACCCTCTTTGTCTCCCTTATATGGGGTTTTTCTGGTCCCCTTTGCAAGTTCTTAAAGGGCCCTATGTGCTGGGGCTTTGAGGCCTCGACCAAGGGCTTGGCCTGACGCCAGCACTGATAACTTCGTCCGGGGAAGGTTTAATGGCCTCTCTGGAATGGGAGCAGTCTTATTTTCCTTATTATTTAAGCCAGCCAGCATTACAGAAGCCAGAAATAGAGGGTTAAAATCTCAAACAGCAGTTCTTATATAAGATGGATGCTTCACCACCTTATCAGGCTTCATATTTGGGAGTTGCAGGCTTGCCAGCCGGCCTGGCTCAGGGGTTGAACATCAACGTATGAACCAGGAGGTCACAGTTCGATTCCTGGTCAGGGCACATGCGATCCCCAGGGCGTCTCTCATCACTGATGTTTCTCTCTCTCTCTCTCTCTCTCTCTCTCTCTCCTTTCCTCTCTGAAATCAATAAAAACACATTTTTATAAATTAGTTCCAGGGGGACGATCCTGGGCAGGTCACTCAATCCCAGCCCCCCTGTGGCAATGCCTGAGCCCCATCCTCCTCCTCTTGGCTGAGGCCGGGCAGGTGGGGGGGCGGGGCGGACGCCTGCTGACTGCTCAGCCACAAAGCCAGCCCCACCGAGTTCCTTCCCAGCTTTCATTTTTACTCTGAAAAATAGGGAAGGCTGTTTTTAACTCTCCGCTACCCAGTTTCTCCAGGGGACCTAACAGGGGAAGAGCTGGGGCCAGAGAGTGTGGTTCATGCTTACTTCATACATGAAATACATACGTGTATGTTAGCGTATGGCCGGCACCTGGAAGGCAGCCCCCCGTTGACTCTCATCTAGAATTTCCAACTTGGCTTGGAGGCCCCTGGGAACCCACGGATTCACCCCCATTGTTAGAAGCTGTGCGAACAGCATCCAGGGATTCGCTGAGGTGACAGGAGGACTGAGGCCCACTCAGTGAACCCCCTTCCCTGCCCGTGCCATCCTTAACCTCAACAACGACCCCCCGGTCTTTCCAGGGAGACCATGGGGCTGAGTTGTAGAACCAGGGCCCGGTCCAGCTCAACCCGCAGCTGGTCTACGTGGCCTGGGAGGCCCTCTACCGACCCCCTCGAGGGCTTTCTCACTAACCTCCGTTACGTTGCTACAATCCTCTCCCTGCGCTGGAGATGTTTTGCCATATTTAAAAAAAAATTTTTTTTAATTGATTTCAGAGAGAGAAACCTCCATGATGAGAGAGAATCACTGATTGGCTGCCTCCTGTAGGCCCCCTAATGGGGATCAAGCCTGCAACTGGGCGTGTGCCCTGACCAGGAATAGAACCGTGACCTCCTGGTTCCTAGGTCAACACTCAACCCCTGAGCCACGCCAGCCAGGCTGTGTGCCGGTTTTGGCCATGTGATGTGTGTAGGCATGTTCGCAGGCACAGGGGTCTCCACCTACACATGTGATGACCGGCTCACCTTGATGTTTACGCATGGATTTCCCTGAGTCAAGACGAATCACCCCTTTGTCCGGGGACCCACTGCTGGGCGCTCCTGTGTGCTCCTCGCTTGCTGGCTCCCAATCTCGTTCCTTCCCATAGAATCCTGAGCGGCGGTCCTTCGGCTGAGCCATCGGACCGTGTGTTCCGGTCGCAGGAACGGGCGGAGGGGGTGGGGGCTAGGCCTGGAGGTGCTCCTCTCCTTGACTTCGGACGCTGACCCCGTTCCTAACGGGGCTGGTGGCCTTCCTCGCTGACCAGGCATCTCTGTTCTGGGCGCTGAGAAGAAACTGACCAGCCAAACAGAGACAGTGCCTGTGTGTGGAGGTCACGCTCGAGGGAGGCGTGCAGACAGTCAGATAAACACGGCGCGTGTGAGAAGGTGGTCACTGCTAAGGGGAGGGGATAGGCCGGGTCGACGCCGGGCGGGGGGGCAGATATCCGAGGGGCAACGGTGCTCTGTCACTTCCGGTGTGGCTCCGGGCCCGTCACATGCCCTCTCCACACGGCACGAAGGGCTCAGCAAGTGCTCCTGAGCGAACTGCAGATGCTTTACACGCGGGGCCTGGCGCTGGGATGGCAGTGACGGCGTAGAGGTAAGTGGCAGCCCGGCCGGCGTGGCTCCGTGGCTGAGGGTCTGCCCAGGACCACGAGGTCAACAGTTGCGGGCTTGATCCCCAGTGTGGGGCGTGCAGGAGGCAGCCAATCAATGACTCTTTCTCATCATTGATGTTTCTCTCTCTCTCTCCCTTCCTCTCCGAAATCAATAAAAACATATTTAAAAATAAATGAATAAATAAATGTAAATGGCAGATTCTGGACTTCAGACTCCTCACCATTTTCTTCAGATGACCAGTCTCCGTGGAACATTCCAGAATTCCTCACACTGTCTGTGGGTCCCGAATGTTCTTGGTTGGCTCCCAGGCTGTCATTTCAACAAGGGAATATTCCACAGACTGAAAAAAGCACAGTTACGTAATGAATCTCCATCCAAACAAGGCAGGAGGAGAAGCCGGAAGAGGATTGTCAGTTTTTGTTGCTGCATTTACTGGCCGATCCCAAGTCCGCTGCCCGGGAGGCTGCCCCCAGGCCTGCTTACACTGCAGCCCCAACCCCAACCCCAACCCCAACCCGCAGCCTCGTCTGAGTCCCATCGCTGGCTCCCCTCTCTGTCTAGACACGTGGCTCTCAATGTCAAACAACCTTTGGGGCTTGCTGGGCAGTACGAGCGAGGGAAGAATTTCAAGCCCTCAGTCAACGCCAAAGGAGAAGACCGATGAGGACTAAGATTCCGAGGGTGTGAGAGACCCTCTGCCCTCTGCCCTCTGTGGGCTGATCTCTAAGACCAGCGGTTCTCAACCTGTGGGTCGCGACCCCTTTGGAGGCCGAACGACCCTTTCACAGGGGTCGCCTAAGACCATCGGAAAACACATATATAATTACATATTGTTTACAGTAGCAAAACTACAGTTATGGAGTAGCAACGAAAATAATTTTATGGTTGGGGGTCAGAAAATAATTTTATGGTTGGGGGTCACCACAATATGAGGAACTGCATTAAAGGGTCGCGGCATTAGGAAGGTTGAGAACCACTGTCTAAGAGGGTTTTCAGATCAAACACAAGACATTGCATTTGAATTGCAGAAAAACAAGGGATTTTTCTTTTTTTTTTTCATTTTAAGTATGTCCCAAATATCCCATCTAGAATCTTCTAGAATTCCTGAGTTGGAGACCCCTTCCAGAACTTGTAGCTAGGAAAGGCAAGCTCAAATGTTTAAAGGGATCAGGCAGGTGACATCTGGGTTTTTATGTGCAATTTCCCTACTTTTAAATGTTAGCCACACATTCAGTTAAAAACAACAACAACGACTACAAACTCTGCCCAGCCCAGCCGGCGTGGCTCAGTGGTTGAGCGTTGACCTACGAACCAGGAGATCACAGTTCGTTTCCCAGTCAGGGTACATGCTCGGGTTGTGGGCTTGATCCCCAGTGTGGGGCGTGCAGGAGGCAGCCGATCTATGATTCTCTCTCATGTTGATGTTTCTTTCTCTCTCTCCCTCCCTCTCCCTTCCTCCCTGAAACCAATAAAAATACATTTAATTAAAAAACAAAACAAAACCCCAAAGGCCACTGTGGGCCAGAGGAAATAGTGCTCTGGGCAGTTCACAGACTGTGGGGAAACCAAACCCTTTCACCTGGTGAGCAGGCGAGGACGCGAGGCCTGGAGAAGACGGGTGTCTGCTGGGCCACAGACCAGGGTCTCCCGAAAGAACACGGACCAGTGGTCTTGGGAATGTGGAAGGTGGAAGTCTGTAAAAGCCAGGACCGGAGCCTTCCATGAAGCTGGTGAGGTGCTTTCACTGCCATCCGTGCATGGGGCTCTGAACACGCTGTAAGGGGAGCAGCTGGTCGCTAAGGGCCAGTACAGCGAGCTGCCACGGGCACACAGGTAAGTCTCCGCAGGTAAGTCTACGGCTGTCTTCCACTTCCCATTGGTTCAGATGAGATAAAGTCGAAGCTCCTTTAGGATCCTAATAAAGACACTCCAAATCCGATTTTCTGCCTCATGAACAGAATCAAGTCAGGAGGCCAGGCTGAGGGCCCAGACTTTTATTTTATTTTTTAAAATATATATTCCTATTGATTTCAGAGAGGAAGGGAGAGGGAGAGAGAGGGAGAAACATCAATGATGACAGAGAATCATGGATAGGCTGCTTCCTGCACGCCCCCCTACTGGGATCGAGCCTGCAACCTGGGCATCTGCCCTGACGGGGAAGGGAACCGTGACCTCCAGGTCATAGGCCGATGCTCAACCACCGAGCCACGCTGGCCAGGCGGGCCCAGACTTTTCACCCCGTTCCCACCTACGGGAGGGGTTAACTAGGGAGAGTTCCCGCCAGGCCCGCAGGCTCATTGGCATTTAACTTGCACCTTCGTCCTGGCCACTGCAGCTTGTCCTCCTGCTGGGCACGGATCTGTCTCCTGCACATCTTCCTCTAGGAGGGACGTTCTGAACAGAGCCGGTACCGAGGTGAGGAGGGAAGGATGTGATCTAAGGCTGGGCAGGGGAAGGGAAGGAAGGAGGACACAACAAGCAGAGCCCGAGAGCCCGGCGGTGCACTGTGAGAGGCACGGCCAGTAATTCTCCCCCAGCCCTTGGCATGTCTGAATAATTCTCACCTTTCAGGTTCCAGCTCAAATATCAGTTCCTCAGAGAGCCTTCGCGGACCACCCCCAACCAGAGCCCCTCCTCCCCCACTCTAACTGCCCAGTTACTGCCTGGCACTAACGTCTATCATTGTCTTAAGGACTCGCTCCCCTTACAGACTGCAGGCTCCATGAAGGCCTGTGGAGTCCGCCTCGTTCTCAGATGTAGGCCTCGGGCCCATCGCGGGACTTGGCACATAGTAGGTGCTCAACAGAGATGCTAACTATGAATAAGTGTTTATGAAAAGACATGGTTATTCTCCATCTTTTCTGAAAGACTTTCCACTGACCCTTTAAGTGTCTCTGAGGCTCGGGTCCCGTAGGAGGTGGGGCTACAGTTCTAGATAGGAATGGTTGGGGCGCAGGATTGGCGCGGGAGCTGAGAAGCGTGGTTCTGCGGGTCGCGCCACAGCCAGTGAGTCTGTGCTTCCTGCACTGATGATGGGGCAGCTGGCAAACAGCTTATCTGCAAATGGACGAAGCCTGTCTTTAGAGATCCCGGTGCCGCGAAGCTCTATTCCAGGCGATGACATCAGAGAATCCTGAGCCCCGCCCCCGAGCCCAGCCCCTTGTTGTCGGAAACTACGAATCCCAGGATGCTCCGCCGCCCAGGGGCCCAGAGCTCTGCGCGCGACCCGCCCCGACGTGCCCGAA